TGAATAATTTTTTTAATGTATTGTTGGATCTGGTTGGCTAATACCTTGTTGAGGATTTTTGCATCCATGTTCATCAGGGTAATTGGTCTATGGTTCTCCTTTTTAGTGGGGTCTCTGTCTGGTTTTGGAATCAAGGTAATGCTGGCTTTGTAGAAAGCGTTTGGAAGTTTTCCTTCCATTTCTATTTTTTGGAACAGCTTTAAGAGAATAGGTGTTAACTCTCCCTTAATTGTTTGGTAGAATTCCCCTGGAAAGCCATCTGGCCCTGGACTCTTGTTTTTTGGCAGATTTTGGATTACTAATCGATTTCCTTACTGGTTATGGGTCTGTTCAAATTTTCTATTTCTTCCTGTTTCCACTTTGGTAGTGTATATGTTTCTAGGACAATTCCTAGTAGTGTAGTGTATATGTATATGTAGTGTATATGTTTCTAGGACAATTCCCCTTTCTTCCAGATTGCCCATTTTATTGGCATATAATTGCTCGTAATATTCTCTTATTATTGTTTTAATTCCTGCTGTGTTGGTTGTGATCTCTCCTCTTTCATTCTTGATTTCATTTATTTGGGTCCTTTCCTTTTTCTTTTTGATCAAAGTGGCTAGTGGCTTATCAATTTTGTTAATTCTTTCGAAGAGCCAGCTTCTGGATTCATTGATCTATTCTACTGTTTGGTTTGGTTTTGTTTTGTGTTTTGTTTTCGTTTCGATAGCATTACTTTCTGCTCTAATCTTTATTATTTCCTGTCTTCTGCAGGTTTGGGGTTTTATTTGCTGTTCTTTTTTCCAGCTCCTTAAGGCGTAAGGTTAGGTTGTGTATCTGAGATCTTTCTTCCTTCTTTAGGAAGGCCTGGATTGCTATATACTTTCCTCCTATGACCCCCTTGGCTGCGTCCCAGAGATTTGGGGTTGTGGTATTATCATTTTCATTCACTTCCATATACTTCTTAATTTCCTCTTTAACTGCTTGGTTAGCCCATTAATTCTTTAGTAGGATGTTCTTCAGTCTCCAAGTATGTGTTACCTTTCCAAATTTTTTCTTATGGTTCATTTTGAGTGTCATAGTGTTGTGGGCTGAAAATATGCATGGTATGATCTCAATGTTTTTGTACTTGCTGAGGGTTGATTTGTGTCCCAGTACGTGGTCTATTCTGGAGAATGTTCCATGTGCACTGGGGAAGAATGTATATTCTGCTGCTTTAGGATGAAATGTTCTGAATATATCTGTTAAGTCCATCTGGTC